CGCCCTCCAACACGCAAGATGTCGGATGTGTCTAAAATTGGGTGCAGTGTTTTTAGCTTACTATTTTTATTCATTTCTCGGGCATTTTTCAAGTTGTCAATGTTGGTTGAAAATGCCGTGTGTTGTGATTTTCGTACCCACACGTTTAATCCGTCCTGTACTTCTGATACTGATAATTCACCAATGAATCTTGTTGTTTTTTCTCTTTTACAATTTTTAATAAATCGTAACATGTATGCTGTGACCCGTTGTAGCCGTTCTACTCGTGAAAACCGTTTGAGAATCGTATCGTCCGTCACTTCAGTGCTGATCAAACTGACTTGTTGTATGCGCCGTTCAGGGATAGGCTCTTCGACTTGGGGTTTAGTATTGTTTGGCCATGCGTCTTCTGGATATGTTAGCCACTCAGGCCCACAGAACCAACGTTGGTTTTCAGCCAATTGTGAGGCAGAAATTCCCCGACTAATAACGTCGGCTGGATTATCCTCTCCTTTGACATATAACCACTCACAACCCGCCGTTCGGTCATGAATTTCGCCTACACGATTTGCTATAAATGTTTTCCATGATCGACTACCTTGTTGGTCAGTTATCCATGTTAATGCCACAGTAGAATCACTCCATAAACAGCAACGATTAATTTTCACCACACCCTTTAGTGCCGTCTTTACCTTGTCAAGTAGTCTGGCACCCAGTAACGTGGCACATAATTCTAAACGTGGTATAGTAGTGTTTCGTAATGGGGCTACACGTGATTTCGAACATAACAGTTGACAGTACACGATTGAGTCATCGTTTGTCGAGCGTATATATACACATGTGCCGTATGCCAACTCGGACGCGTCGCAAAATACGTGGATTTGAATGCCTTGCTTCGTAGAGATAGTTGACCGTCTAGGAATAGTAATATTGTTTAATATTACTAAACCTTTACGATATTTTATCCACTGCTTGGTGTATTCGAGCGGCAATGGGCTGTCCCATCCTGTGTTGAGGCGCCATAAAGATTGAATAAAAATCTTTGCTGTAACAATAATGGGACCCATCAATCCCAGTGGGTCAAATAACTTAGCGATCTCTGAAGTGACGACTCGCCTCGTCACTGTTTTCGCTGGTTTCCATTCCGTGACCTTATAGTGTAAACTATCTGTCACTGGTACCCAATTCACCCCAAGTGCCTTAGTGACCATATTGTCCGAAAAATTTAACTTGTGAATGGTACCCTTTAGATTTTCTGGTAAATGACTCAACAGGCTAGTATGGTTAGCACACCACTTTCGTAATAGAAAACCGCCTTTTTCGCATAATGAACTAACATCACGTTGCAGGCGTCTAGCTTCTGTCAGTGTGTCAGCTCCGGTTAATAAATCATCAACATAAAAATCACGTTTTATTGCTTGGGCAGCGACTGGTAAGCTATCACCTTCATCTTCGGCAAGCTGATGCAAGGTTCGGACAGCCAAGTACGGCGCAGCCGCTGTACCATATGTTACGGTGGTCAAAACATACGTCTTTAATGTTTCGGTGGGTCGATCACGCCATATGATTTTTTGTAACTGCTGGTGCGGTTCGCATATTTTAACTTGTCGGTACATTTTCTCAATATCCCCTGTTATAACATAGCAGTGTAGCCGGAACCTGATTAGAATATTGAATAGATCCTCTTGAATTGTGGGGCCGACCATCATTGATTGATTTAGTGAGATTCCCGTTGTGCTTTTTGCTGACGCATCAAAAACCACGCGTAGTTTGGTGGTGGTACTCTCTGCCTTAATCACACAATGATGTGGCAAGTATGCTTCTGGTAATGTCCGTCTTATCGATTGTGTCTCTTCATACATATGACCCAATGCCTCATACTCCTTCATAAACAGTGTATAGGCCGACTTTGTCTCTGGACAGGATTCTAATCGTTTTTCTAATGCATAGAACCGACGGATTGCCATTGTTTTCGTGTCGCCAAGATTTTTCAAGATTTCGTTGCATAGCGGTAAATTTACTACATACCGTCCGTCTGTATCTCGCCGTGTTGTTTCTCTATAAAATTTGTCACACGCTGTTATTTTTGAGTTTTGTATCGTCATGTCATTATGTTCTTCAAGCTCCCAGAACTTACGCAAAAGTGTGTTTAAATCTTCGTCTGGCTGTGTAATCGCGGTGAAACACTGAATATTTGTTTCTGTATTTTCATTACTGTTTACGCGTCCCGCAATTACCCAACCAAACACCGTATTTTGCAACGTAATAGAGTCCGATAATGTAACATGTTCTCCTCTGAGCAATGTGAAGAATAGTTCTGCGCCTATCAGCAAATCTATATGACTCGGCTCATTGAACTTCGGATCTGCGAGTTGAATTTGACTAGGAATCGGAACAGACGCTAACGGTACACGTGCTATTGGTATACGATCTGTCACATCCTTCAGTAATACAAACGATGTACGCTGTTTGTAGGTCGAATTTGTTGCCTGAATTTGACAATGAACGCGACCTAAGGCCCCGTTCGAAGAATTACCAATTCCGAAGATGGTGAGATTAGTTTTTTCTTGATAGAGTTGTAGTGAATTTGCCAACCGTCTCGTCATAAAATTAGACATCGAACCAGAATCTAGCAGTGCTCTGGCCATACAAGACTTACCGGTTTGTGTATTTACAACACGAACCATCGCTGTAGACAGCAAAACCGATCCGCCTTCAGCTTTTGCTACATTTGCTACAGTTTTCTCTGCCTGGGCCACTTCATTGTTTCGGTGAATAAGCGTGTTATGACCCTTTCCACACAATTTGCAACTGCCATTTTTGCAAACTGCAGCATAGTGGCCTGGTCGAAGACAGTTTAGACACAACCTGGCCTCACGAATTTGTTGAACTCTCTCATCAATTGTGCCTGTTGCTAATTTTTCACACTTATACACCCAATGATTACCCTTACAGATTGGACACGACGACAGTTTTGTTGTCGTCTGTAAGACCGCAGTTTGACGCCTTTTTGCCGGCTGTGCTTCTTTGTTAGATACAACAAATGCCTTTGACCATTGACGCCTTCTCTCTGGCTCCTTTGGTTTGTCCCGTGAAGTTTCCGCGTTGGACTTAATATGACTAGCCGCCTCAACAGATTCTAAAATCAAGCACCTTTTGTCGAGAAAATCTCCGAACTCACTTATTGTTGGCGGCTCGTCGTCAGTTCGTGTACATTCCCATTCACGCAGAGTAACTGCATGTATTTTGCTAGTCACTAAATGAATTAATATGGCGTCCCACTTGTCCGTTGGCTGTCCTAAAGATGACAAAGAACGAATGTGACTATTTAAGTTGTTGACTAATTCTCGAAGACCTCTTGCAGTTTCCGTCTTCTGCTCTGGCAACTTGAACAACTCCGCAACGTGAGTGCCTACAATTAACCGCCGGTTTTGATAACGTTGACAAATTGAACTCCATGCGATTGAATAGTTGTCATCAGTTGTTTCTAATGACATTATTACCTTTCCCGCTTCTCCCTTGAGAGCTGCTCTTAGATGATGAAACTTTTCTATTTCGTCAATATCCTTGTTGTCATGAATCATTGAGCGAAATGTGTCCCTGAAAGTTAACCACTCATCATAGCGTCCACTGAAAGTAGGCAGTGGTATAACAGGCAGTTTCACTCGTCTATTAGTTGTTGTCTTTGAGCTGGAACTCTGACACCCTTTTGCTGAACTAGTTTCAGCAAAATTGGCCATTTGTGCTGATATAACTGATAATAATTCAAAAACCTGATCGTCGACACTACGTCTTATGACAAACTGCTCGTCATCTTCAGCAATGTCTTCAATTTTGTTTTGAATTACTTCAAATTCTGCTTGAAGCTCACGTAATTTTTCATAACGATGCTTAAGTTGAGCATGGCCCACTTCTGTACGATCGTTGAATTCATGTACATAAAAACTCATAGATTGAATTTGACGCATAACTCGATTACGCCGTTTCACAGCCTTCTCAAAAGCTGTCTCTGACATGTTATCCGGTCCGAAGGGCCAATGTTAATGCTCGTGAGTGGACTGTAATCATAAAATAATAAAAAAACAGAGTATGAAGCTCTACCATGTGTAAAATATATCAAATGTCATTATAACCTAACTGCATGAGTAACCTACGCTGATTAACAAGTAATACTATATGCGTTATGTCGTGTAGCTTAATTTGTGAGTATTGCGTAAATAGCCCTTAACATGTCGTGATATCCGCAGAGTACCATCGACATATAACAGTAGAGTACCGCCTTGCACGAGTACCCTAGACGTCAATCGACCACCGCAGTGCGCCGACAACGATTACTAAAAGAACAATAGAACACTCGCTCTGAGCCAGTGCCCTTAAACGTGTCATGGTATCCGCAGAGTACCGATGGCACATAACAGTAGAGTACCGCCTTGCACGAGTACCCTAGACGTCAATCGACCACCGCAGTGCGCCGACAACGATGACTATAAAACAGAAATAATTAAAATACAGTTAAGGTACCACACTCTAATTATTTCTTTCTGATTATGTAAATTATGCCCAATGTAGCTGTGCGCAGGTGAACTCATGCAGTTAACTTATTTAGAATTGCTCTAAATAATATTGTGTTATGTGTAAATTTGTCTATTGTAGACAAATTTATTCTATGCAATAAAATAAAAAACAAACTTACTTACAGTGAATGGTCAAACACAAATTGACTTGCTTTATTTAAGAAAATAATTTTTAACAAAAATAACTAAAGAAATATGTAATATTTAAGAGTGAAATATCTGCTGCGACCTTCTTCTTCTACTGGGTTCTGAAAAACTGACCGTCGTTGAGACTACAAGCCACCCTCATTACCTTTCCCTGGTAGGTAGTACCGATCCCTTCTGTGACGCTAGGCAGCAGGTCAACCGGTCCGAACTACCTGCCTCTTTGTTCGCCGACACTCAGTTTACATTAATTTAATTTTTCTTATTAGAAGAGAGTAATCTAGTCTATCTACAAGCAATTTACAATTGAAGCAAGATCAAGGCATTTTTTTATATTAAGTAATTTGAATAAAATTATTTAAATACATTTATCTGTTTGTTATTTATGAGACCATTTACTAACATTAATTATAAAGAATAAATTTGTGATTATGTGAACAGAATTGTAAAATTGCTCATAGAAACATATAATCCAAGAAATCTGAATTTTATTATTTTTATTTTAATTTTACCTTTTATTTATTCCTCTACCTCTTCATCCTTCGACATTCATTTCTATAACAGTTATAGTTACTGTTCTTGCAGCTTCTGATTCCTCTCTTCTCATAACACGACCAAACCATCTAAGTCTATTTTCTGTCATCTTATCCTCGGTTGATGCTACACATAAACTTCCTCGTATATGTTCAATCCTTATCCTATCTTCTCTAGTCCTTCCACTCATCCACCTAAGCATTCTAATTTCTATTACACTCATTCTCTTATTTACTATCTTGTCAACCGCCCAACACTTTAACCCATACATCATAACTGGTTTCACTACAGCCTTATAGAACTTATCTTTCTTCATCATTAGAATTCTCTTATCGCATAACACATCAGAGCTTCTCTCTACTAGAAGACCCCTAACTTAATACTGTGTCTTACATCCTCGTCAATACCGCCATTCTTTTACACAACTGATCATTAATACTTAAAACTTTTCATCTCTCCTGTTTAATACTTGAAGATCTTGGTCAAAACCAAGTTAGACAATTGTTTTATTTCAACGTCAAAGTAAGTTATATTTACAGAATTACACATTGATTAGTATTTACTGTTCAAAAAGTGCTCCCGAGCTTAAAATTGATATTTTTAAACAGCAAAATCTCATGAATAATTTGTTCAATTTTAAAAGTATTTACGTTTTAAATAAAATTACCAAAACGAAAAAAAAAGTAATGGTTGCCATTTAAATTTCTTAGTTAGGGTAGATTTCTACTTTTTTACATTAGGGTTGAAATTTAATTTTAATCGTAAATAATGCATTTAATTATTGAATTGTTATAACTAATTATATTTTTATAAAATACAATTTATACATATATATTATATATATACTTCATGTAAAATGCATGTATATAACACTGGACATAAAATAAAATGTATTTATATCTCTGGACATAGACATATTGTAACTATAATTGTTTTTAATTTTAGTACATATATATACACTATGTAACTTATTGAATTTTTGTGTATTGTAATAATACTAAGTAGTATTATTGTAGTACTACAATTAAATTTTCTATCGAGTGCATGACGCAATACATAAGTCATACTTAAAAAAATATGTTATTTAGTAATATTATAAATACTTATCTAAATATTTAAATAAGTACTGACTGAATAATTTTTTTTAATGGTAGAAATTCGTTTATCTCTATTATATGCTGCGGTATGTACTTTGATGTTTTTGTAATCGGCTTGCCGTGTGATAATGAGTATCATTATTTACATGATATAGCACCGCAAAATTTCGATCACCCGTTCCGTACAAAAACTCCGTATTTGTGTTTTTCAGAATAAATGTACGTGTCCATAGAATAGTGATTTAATATGCTGGCAATTTCTTCATCTGATAACCAATAGTCTGGGACGTCTTTTATTTATAATAACACAAATAGATCACAAAGTGTTATTTTCCTTTGTTTAGATAAGCTAATTGCATTGCAGTTGCATGCAATGCGCAATTGTTGTCTTCTGCAACATTTTCGCCCATTTGATATTTTTCGAAGACTTCCCGTAGTTTTGCTAAACGTGTGTTGTCAGCAAATTTATTCTGTGCGGCTATTTGTGTTGAGAGAGTAGAAATAACTGTCTTACTGTTTACGTTATTTGTATTGTTCTTTTTTATTGCTGCATGGTCGGCGTTGTATATTTTCGTAGTTATANTATTGTTCTTTTTTATTGCTGCATGGTCGGCGTTGTATATTTTCGTAGTTATAATATTTTTTATGATCATCAAATTTGAATTAAAGTTAATATCAGCCTTATTATTGAATAGAAATCTATTTCCCGATATGAGCGAACTTATTAAGTTATTTACAACATAGAAGTCTATATAAAACTGCTCGTTCTCAATGACGATTTGAATAATAGTTTTTCCTATTAAATCCAAGGGCTTGTAATCTGCTACGGTTATTAGCATATTTTCAACCTTTTTTATGTTGTATTCTTTAGCTAATTCCGCGTTTAATATGTTTAGATTTGCCCCAGTATCTATAGTGACTGTTATTTCTGCTTGATTTAATGTGGCTATGATGTACAATGCTTTTGCGCTAGAATATTGACTTGTCGATTGTACGTACTCAATCTTATTGCTTTTATTAACTTTATTCATAATATTTTCTGACTAATGTGTTTTTATTTTTGAGTTTGCTAAGGTTGAAGGTGAACGTATGTCCTTAGCGTGAGCGTTTAACCTAAAAGCTAGTTTTTTTTAGTTGCAATTCTTTGCTGTGTGATTTTGGCATAATTGACACTTTGCGTCATCTGCTTCCTTTTTTCTGGATCTGCAGACACTTGCTTTGTGGCCGTATTTCTCACAAATTTGGCATTGAACTATTAATATTTTGTTACGGAAACAATTCTCAGTAATGTGGTTAGTCCTGTTGCAAATATCACATTTTCTGTTTTTGCCGGACGTATTGCCATTAAATTTTCTTACTGTTTTAGTCCGTGATTTATGAAAATCTAATAGTTCTTTGACTTGCTTTTTTAATTGCTCTAGCTCAACTTCTTGTTTTTTATTTGACATGTGCTGGATTTGCTCCTTAAGAATGTCTGTTGTAATTTCTGAACTAGATTTACTATTATCGCCTTCTATGAGAAATTCTGTAGTCTCCCATTTTCTTATATTCTTTTTTAGACTGTCCAAGGTATCATTGTCCAACATCGATACCATCCTTAAAATGTCGGGGCGTAATCCCTTCATAATAAGATGTACTTTTTCTTTTTGTGACATGTCCTTGTTTATACGTAAGCATAAAGCTTCAGCTTCATTTAAATAAGAGCTTAAGGATTCGTCCGGTTGTTGATGGCGTTTTTGTAAGATCATTCTTATCATGTCCGTTTGAGTTGTTGGCTAAAATTCCAACCTTATTTTATACTCTAGATCTTCCCACTTGATTTGGCCGACGGTGTTTCTTCTATATTTTCATAGAAGTGTAAAGCCGTACCTTCCAAGAAGGCTGGTAAAAACTGAACTTTATCTTCATCGTTCCATTCATTTATGATACTGGCTCTCTTGTATCGCTTAAGAAACAGGTCTATGCTTTCGTGAATTTCTCCCCTAAACTGACCTGGCTTAAAGAATGGCTTTCTACGGTTCTTGTTGTCATCATTAGCCATGTATTCTTCCTTGGCCATCAAGTGTGGATAAGTTGGCTTAATAATAATTTTTCTTATACCATAACAACAACCCTAACGTAATATATACGTTACCTTTGTTGGGCGCCACTCTGTCGTAACACAATAAAATAAAATGTATGTCTATTGATAGTCATAATTGATAATAAATAAACCGTCACTGTGATAGCAATATAATAAAAAACCAATTAGCTACCTGTATTTCTTTCAACGATACGTCAAAAGATCACAAATCGTATCTAAGATACTGCTCTTAAAAAATTCCCTCGTTCCTTGTAAACGAGAGAATCCTCAGCAAATTTATATTTATATAATCAGAAAATATCGACATTTATAAAATTTTTATTCTTAAAACTGAATAAAACAAAATTATATTTTTTTAAATATTTATTTAGGTATTTCCCATTCGTTTGGAATAAACTTTTTGAAAATTTGATCCTGTATCTGCTTACAGTGAGGGTTTCTTTTGCACAAAAATTTAACTTTTTCAACTTAAGTTTTGAAATTGTTCCGTGATTACTCCGAGAATTAAACATATGTTAAATTAAAGTTGACACGACTTACGTCGCAAAAAAGTGGTCGACACTGGTTTGAGGGTAGAGACCCGTGGGCCGTTTATTAAATGAGCGACAACAGATTATTTTAACAAAAATAAAACAAACCGAAAAGATAAACACAGTAATAATAATCTTCGCATAATATCGCGGCACTTTCGCTGGCGTCGACGACGCGATGTCCGGCGTAAACCTTGAACGGCAAAATGGTTAGCAGAGTTGTAGGCGACGGTGCGCGGGTGCGGTTCGGTTGGTCGGCGTTGTCGCATTCACAACAGGAGGAAGACTCTCGCACCATTTGCGGCGGGTCGTCGTCGGCCGTGCGGCATTTGCTGGACTTTGCACCGTAGCGTATAATACGCGGCGTTGGTCAGTCAAGTACTCATAGTAGGGCGACGGCTGAAGAAGGTGGCACGAGTCGCGGGGCATCGTGTATAACGAAGCGACGCGGACCGTGTCAAAGTATATGTTACGAAATATATGTTAAAAAAATTGTTTTGATACCTTATCTATTCGATGTGCAAATAGCTCCGTATTTTAAAAAACATGCTAATTTTGTGTTAAAACTTTCGATTTCATATTTTATTTTTTCGACTTAATATTACTTTAATTTTTTGAAGAATGTATGTATCAGTAAAAATTTATTGTAGAAGTGGTATATACATATTCCTTTAAATATTTTTTTACTATAATTTTTAATGATGTATGTAAAGAAGGCTACAGTGATGAGGTCAGTGATTTTAATAAATGTTATGTGAATGAAATTTACATTGAATGATATATAAATATAATACATGAATAATTACTTGGTAGAGTGATTAAATTTAGTATGAAATTTATATGGAATAATTTAGTGTTGTAAATTTTACTGACAAGTATAAAAAGTTACAAAGTTGTTGTAACAAGTAATTGATTTAATGTTAAACATCCGATTACTCTTAAAATAATATTAAGAAAATTATTTTTAGTATAACTTGATTTTATAAACAGATTCTTCAGTAAATAATGTAACAGATCCATCATAACGAACAAAGAGAACAATAGAATCCCGTTTTCTTATTTAACGAACACATTATACAAGGCGAATTTTAAATGTATGTATTTTANACGAACACATTATACAAGGCGAATTTTAAATTATGTATGTTCATAATCAAATAAATAATGATCTAATTAAAAAATGGTTATTAAAAGTAATATTTTAAACAGAAATTGTGCATAAAAAACCTTTTTGACATTTTTTAGTTTTATACATTTCTCAATTTATCAATTAAAATAAAATTTTTAATTTATCCTTTATACCCTATAAAATACAGACAATAAACGTTTTTCTTGTTACATTATCAAAATAAATTGTTTGTTTAATGAGTTTTTAATTCGCTTACTAATTTTTTCAATTAGTGAAACTCTGAAATAAAATAACTGAAATAAAATTTTATACACAAAACAGACTTAGTTATTCATTTAAAACCAAAACAATAATAATTTTGTATAAATATTGAGATTAGTATGGCAAATAGGTATAAATTTTATAGTGTTTTTAAACAGTATTTCNGGCAAATAGGTATAAATTTCAAAGTGTTTTTAAACAGTATTTCTTATAAAAACTTATTTCATAATTCAATAATAACGTTATAAGCAATTCAAGTATATCTTTCGTATTTCAAATTCGAACTTTATATTATATATTTTTAATCGATAAAAAAATTTATCCAACGTTTTTCTTTCAAATTCAGTTATTTCTTGTTTAAATGTTTTTTGATACAAATGTAGTTCTGAAGCTATGGATGACTTTGAAGATAAAAGCTTAGCCTTAAGTTCTGCAATATGCTTACGATTTTCTTTAGTTATAATATGATCTTGAATGTTATACAGCAGTCGTCTATCAGGTTCTTGGCATCGTCGAAGATACCAAAAACGTGCCATGAATTCTTCGTCAGTCATACCATTCTTTAAACTATCCTTTAAACGACCAAACTCTATTTCAGTAAGGGCACGAAATCGGAACATGGATCCTTTATCAAATTCACAATCATCCAAATTAACTATAAATATTTTAATATATTATCTATTAATAATTTTTCTATAACAGTATAAATTAAAAAGTTAATTTAAATGCACATGAAATATGTTACCTACCTAAGTTTTTAAAACCGTCTATATATTTATTACAAAAAGGACATATCCGTTGAACTCTTGAGAATTTATTTGCGCAATAGTTTCCTATAATGTGACCACAGGGGGATAAGGTAACTGAGTTTGTCTCTTGTTGGCAAAAAGAACATGACAAATCTATACAAACGCTGCATGTTAAAATTATATAGATAGTTTGAATTGTCAAAGTTACACCAAATATTTCTTTGATATTAATAATTATTTTAACAATAATTGTTTATTATTATAATAAATTAGTTAATTTAATTACGACTGTAAATAATAAAAGTTATGATATTTTAACCGAAAATCGGTAATTAAATATTTTATTATAATCTCAATAAATTTAGTTATTACCAAAATTATTTATTTATCATATTTATTGTAATTAAATAAATAAATATATGCATATTTTCCATTACCTTCTGAATTATTTACTGGATTATCTATAAATTAAACAGTTAATAAATTTCACTATTATTATATACATGGTTATTTTATTTTCTTATAAGAAACATATGTATTAAACTAACTTATAAAATAGAAAATGATTTAAAATATTATAATTAATCTATAACAATTTTTGAACGAATATATTTCGTCCACATTATGACTTCCGACTAGGTACCAAAAATAGCCTTCTCACATATTTGTTATCAAGTGTGTTAATGATATGGTTTTAATGTTCATTTTCAGGCTTATATCATGTTTTTTAGCGTATGAAATTCACAGTTCTATAAGTCTACATATTAGCCTGTTAATGCATTTGATTAAATAAATACATATAAATATGTTTTCAGTTACCATTAGATATATCTGCAGCATCCTCTATAAATTAAACAGTTGATTAATTTAACTATTATAATAAAACATATTTAATATATTTGTCTATTTTATTTTACTTTAATTAATATTGACATTAAATATGATGAATAATTTTAATTAAAATATTATAGTTTAATGAGTAGTATCAATAATTTGAAATATAAAAACAAAATTTAACTTAAATTTCTATTAGAATGTGAATAATAGTTAGTAAAATAATATTTCGGTTATATACAAATAAATTTCGAATTACCTTTTATTGTATCATTTAGGTTATCTGAAATTTAATATGTTTAGTCATAAAGTTATAAGTTTTCTTAAATTTGGAAATACATAATTTGTATTTTATAAGATATAAATATTATTTTCATAATAATATGTTGTTCCGTACATAATTACAAAATATAATGTGTGATTATTTTAATCATAGTTACTAGATTTCCCTTAAGATAATGTTTTTTTGAAAATTAATGTTTGCATTTTGTTAGTTACATATGTATCTCATAACTGTTGTAAAATGATTTATAGATCCATATCTTATATTTTATAGGGGTGTCAACTTAATTTTTTAATTGGAAATATATGTATTAAAATATCTTATAAAGTAGAAAATGTTCTAAATAAGAAAATCATTGTTCGATTACAAAATTTTAACCATTACTTTGGAAGTTATTAGTATATAAAATATAGTTTGGTGGAGAAACTTAAATGGTGTTATTTTTATTTTTAGTCATTTCTCGTCTGCACTCTTCCTCCTAGGTACTAAAATAGAGAATATTTGTAAAAAACATTTACCCCTATCAAAAATTTGGAAGGAAATTCACAGCCTTATAGGGGTATAAATTAGCCTGTTAATGCATTTGATTAAATAAATACATATAAGTATGTTTTCAGTTACCATTATATATTNAAGGTTTACCCTATTTACGCGTGAACGTGGGAATTTTTTTCAATTTTTGTGGGTAATGTCTTCGACTAGATACGATTTGTGATATTTTGACGTATCGTTGAAAGATATCAATACGATGTGAGCTGAGAAAATGTGGTAAGAGACACAAAAAAAAAAAATACATCATAGTAAAACTAATAACTTATTTAAAATTTTCTATATATACATGTGATTCTGAATATTTGCCAGACAAATGTTCCTTTTTTAGCTTCATTATATTATTGCGATCATCGCGAGTTATTATTTTTTTAATGAACTTCAACATTTCATTATTAAGTTCTTAGGAGCCTCAAAGGTACCAAAAACGTGCCATAAATTCTTTGTCAGACATAATATTCTTAGTATAAGTTACTAAACGATTTAGCTCGTTTTCAGTAAGGCCATGTAATCGGTACGGACTTAGACTTTCATCATTATAATAATAAATCATGGTCTGTCAAATGAACTAAAAATGTATAATTTTAATATTTAATTATTAAACTATTTTTGAAAAAAAATAGTTTAATGAAAATAATGAACTGATTTATACATGATTTTATCGACTACTGTAGTTTAAAAAGCTTGTTACATAGGATTTGTCCTATATGCATGCATACTGGACAAATTATTGATCCTTTTTATAATTTATTTGTGCAATAGTATCTTGTCATATGATGACATGAGGATATGGTAAAAAATTTATAATGATCCGTACATTTTTTAAAGAGTTATGGCATTAGAAAGTCAAAAATAAAAAAACCAATTTATTTACAAAAATTGTATTTTATTATTAACTTTGATGTCTGTTTTCACCGTAAAGACGAAAAAATGCCCGAAATATTTTTTTACATAATAAAGTACATTACATTAGCTTTAATTTAAGATATATATAAAAGTGTCAGACCTTCCGGAACACTTTTAAAAGTTGAGTTGAAAAAGTTGTCATTTTAAATCCTCCCTGTGGGCAGGTAAGGGACAAATTTATAAAAAAAATATACCAAATGATAGGTAAGGATATCATGCATCTATAAAAAAATTTTTTATTCATTTGACCATTTTTTAAAAAGTTATGGCAATTTTAAGTAAACAAAAATTGAAAAAATTTCGAAAATTAGCGATTTTTGAAATTGTAATTTTTTTGGAGGTTTCCCCCATTTACAGGAAACGAGGGAAATTTTTTCTATTTTTGAGGATAATGTCTTCGACTAGATACGATTTGTGATCTTTTGACGTATCATTGAATGATATCAGTTCTGTGTGAGCTGAGAAAAAGTGGTACCAGAAACAAAAAAAAACACATCATAGTAAAACCAATACCTTCTAAGCTTCGCAACGAAGCTAAATAGTATTAAATATAATTGTTTTTTATTTACTTTCGTAAGGTTACCAGTAGTATTGATATGGCGGGTTATGGACTTTAATCAAAATTGTCCGTTACAATGTGCTTTCTCAACTTTAACTAAGTCTCGTGCATTCCTTAGTTTTAATTATTAGCTGATTTAACAATAAGATAACAAATGGTCTATTAGCTAGTTGTGTTCTTAAGTTAGTTATTTTGAATAACGATCTAGTAAAATAAATAAATTATTTTGCTAAATAATTAACAAAAAACCAATAACGACAATTAGAAAATATGTTGATAAAAAATTTATCTTATTTAAAACAAACATAAATTTATGAAATAACTATTTCAACCGATTACTCTTATATTCAATTTGTTAAAAATTAGTTTTTTAATATATTTAAAATTAGTTTTTATTTAATTATGTTATCAATTTTACTTACACAGAAGTTCTTAATTGATAAATAAGTAAAAGGGATGAAAAATTGCTATAGTTTTTTCAATGCTGAATTAGGGGAATGTCTAGTAAGTATTATATTTAATAACTTTTAATTATATAAAGAAGTATCATAATTTAGTTGTAGGGAATGTGCATTGGAAGAGTTTTAAGTGTTCTATTCAAACCAAACATTATTTTATGTAATATAATTAACTATTTTTGTGTTTCGTGACAAAAAATAATTACAAATAAATAATAATACAATAAACATCTTCACTAAGAATCTTAAAAAATAAATAAAAACATAAAACCTTCTTTAGCTTTACATCGATTTATTGATAAATACAGACATTGACGATATTTTTTTTTGTTTCTTTTACATTTTTGTTTAATAAGTTTTTTATTCATCGAAGAAACATAACACATTGATAAGCAACAAACCAATAAATCATTAACTAAAAAATTTTTGTGAAAATGTTTTACATGAAAACTAATTTAGGAAATCTATAAATAATTACGTATAAACGAAATCAAGGTAATTCTTTCGTATGTTAAGTTCGTATTGTATATAATTATTTTGGAATCCTGTATAAAATGCACATAGCATAATACATTCTTTATCAATTAATTCTTGTTTAAAATGATTTTTGTACACATCAATTTCTGAAATTTCGCCTGATAAAAGTTTCTCTTTTAGTTCCGCGATATATATACGATCCTCATCAGTTATAATATGACGTCTAATGTCCAGCAGCAAAGATTTAGCAGGTTCTTGGCAACGTCGAAGGTACCAAAAACGAGCCATAAATTCCTCGTCAGTCATGTCATTCTGAATTTTAGACTTTAAATTATTTGTTTCGTTTTCAGTGAGGACACGTAATCGGAACGGGCTTTGTTTTTCAAATTCATAATCTGTCAAAGTATCTAAAAATATAGAATTTTTAAATATTAGTTATTTATCATTTTTCCAAAATAGTGTAAATTAAAAAGTAAACCTAAATACATATGATTAATGTTACCTACATAAGTTTCCAAAATTTTCTATCTTTCTTTTACAAAAAGGACATTCTACGTCACCTCTTGAGAATTTATTTGCGCAATAGTTTCCTACATTGTGACCACAGGGATAGATGGTAACTGAGTTTATCTCTTGTTGGCAAATATGACATGACAAATCTATACAAACGCTGCATGTTAAAATTATATAGATAGTTTGGGTTGTCAAAGTTAAACCAAATATCTCTTTGATATTGATTATTGAATTGACAATAGTTGTTAGTTAATTTATTATGACTGTAAATAATAAAAGTTATGATATTTTAATTGAAAATCGGTAATTAATTATTTTATTATAATCTCATTAAGTTTAGTTATCACCAAAAATTTATTTATCATATTTGTAATTAAATAAATAAATGTATATTTATTTTCAATTACCTCCTGAAGTATTTTCTGCATTATCTATAAATTAAACATTTAATAAATTGCACTATTATCATATACATGACTATTTTATGTTTAATTGTTATATTATTATATTATTATTTTATATTTTATTCCTTAAACGGAAAAATATGTATTAAATTGGCTTATAAAATAGAAAATGATGTAAACTTTCTCGTTCACACTCCAACTTCCTGAGGTACCAAAAATAGAACTATTTATAAAAAAATTTAGCCTTCTTAACNATATTAGTCATTTATCATTTTTCCAAAATAGTGTAAATTAAAGAGTTAACCTAAATACATATGATTAATGTTACCTACATAAGTTTCCAAAATTTTCTATCTTTCTTTTACAAAAAGGACATTCTACGACACCTCTTGAGAATTTATTTGCGCAATAGTTTCCTACGTTGTGACCACAGGGATAGATGGTAACTGAGTTTATCTCTTGTTGGCAAATATGACATGACAAATCTATACAAACGCTGCATGTTAAAATTATATAGATAGTTTGGGTTGTCAAAGTTAAACCAAATAACTTTGATATTGATTATTGAATTGACAATAGTTGTTATCATTAGTTAATTTATTACGACTGTAAACAATAAAAGTTATGATATTTTAACCGAAAATCGATAGTTAAATATTTTATTATAATCCCAATAAATTTAGTTATCACCAAAAAATTTATTTTTCATATTTATAATTAAATAAATAAATGTATGTATATTTTCAATTACCTTCTGAAGTATTTTCTGCATTATCTATAAATTAAACATTTAATAAATTGCACTATTATCACATACATGACTATTTTATATTTAATTGTTATATTATTATATTATTATTTTATATTTTATTCCTTAAACGGAAAAATATGTATTAAATTTGCTTATAAAGTAGAAAATGATGTAAACTTTCTCGTTCACACTCCAACTTCAACAGTTAATAAATTTCACTATTATTATACACATGGTTATTTTATTTGCTTATAAGAAACAAATGTATTAAACTAACTTATAAANTATGTTTACTTAAAAATAAATAAAGATATTCCAAAGTTTTAGTTATACACAACTGTTTTTTTAAATTAATATTTAACAATTTTTACCAAATGTTACTTATATCTGATTTTTTTAATTTTACAAAAAACTTTTGACCATACAAAAATTTATACGACACTTTAAAATTGAAATTTTTACAATATCATTAAAGTTTGAGTTTAGAGTGTTCCGTGTTAATCATCATGCCATATAAAATTCAAATTTTGTAAATTTTTTTTTAAACTTATAAGAAAAATTCCCAGTTATCATTACTCAAATTTAAAACTTCAATATTACGTAGTTCGTATTCTCAGTAAAACTTACAATACTAAATAATTCCATATCAAATTCACACAAAACTGAACTGATTAAGAAATGTTCTCATAACTGACTAAATTAATTTATATACCTAATTATTTATGATACTTATTTTACAAAATTGTATAAATTGTAAATTTTAATGCAATAATTAAAATGTTTGAAAAAATAAAAGAATAACTGGATATTAAAGTTATTTTTAATTACATATTGGTGTTATGTTTACAAAAACATCCTCCATAAAACACCATCCATTCATTTGTGATTGATCTGTAAAATAATTGAATTTATTTTATGATTAAATTATTTAAAAATGTTTGTAAGAATAAAAGAATGAGGTTATTCAAATTAAGTTTTTAATTTGTTATTTTATGTGAAGGCTTTTATTTTGATAATATTAATGTAGCAGTGTTATATATTTTTTTGTGTCTAACTATACTAATTTATCTATTATTAATTATTAAATATTTCCAATACATAAATAGCAACATATGTAATAAAGTTATTAGAGAAAAACATACTGTACCAATAAAACTCAACAGAACACTAGTAAAATACAATGTAAATTTAATCATCTTCTAGTATTATAAAATAATTATTATTGCTTTACTAAAATGAATATATTGTTTCCTTGAATAAAATAAAAGACTACTACTTATTAATTTAACGTCATTAAACTTGAATTTATATATGTTTTAAGATAACTGTTTTTGTAAATTTAAAACATTATGTCATTCTTTGTATAAAGTTAAGAATAAATAAAATTATTAAGTGTCGCATAGTTTCTAAAAATACAGGGTACTTATAACCTATAAACTAAAAATATGTTAGAAATTAGTATCTTACAAATTTTTTTTTTTTTTAATTTAATTTAAATTATTTTTGTGGATCATTAATTAATAATACATTTCATTATGATTTATATATAAAATTATGAAAATTAAAACATAATAGCTCTTTTATTATTTACCCAAATTATTGGAAAATGCAGATATTACACTTTTTTTTTGTACATTTAAAAATTAAATTATTTGCTTATTGAGTTACTAACTAAATGATGTACAATAAAAATTAATAGAGATCTTCTGATCATAGAATTCAGACACCAAGGTCCGGAATGAATAGATCCAAGGCTACTCAGGTCGTCATTCAGCGAAAAAAAATTGTGGAAAGACTAAACAGATTTTAGAATAGGGACATGGAAATAGAGTTTTGTGAATAACAGGAACTGATATTAACAGATACATACCTTGAAGTCCCGCTATGGAGAACATGGAAAACGCCTGGAGATTTGGTATCAAATAGATATCATACTCATAAAAACTAAGTTCAGAAATCAAATTAAATCTAACTAAGCCTATATTTTTGTGGCGTCTCAGGATACCTCGAAACACTATCTATCCAACTATCCCAGTCCCCATACATTTTTACTAGATATTTATAATTTATGACAAGACTGAAATATTTTATATAAAACATCACAAACATCCAAGAAGGATCATTCTATTATAATGTGATCCTGCTTGATGTGTCGGACTCGCCTATTATTTACACACCATCAAAGTAATTCGGAGCATTAACTGCCAGATGTTTTTCATCGCCTACAAAAACCTTACATTCCCTTAAAGACGAAACTAGATATTGAAAATGCACTTAGCCAACTAATCTAAACCATCCCAAATGATATTGAGTTATAATAGATATTTCCTAAACCAAATAAAATAATAACAAGTTGTTCAAAAATAACTTGGTACAGCCTTTAAATGGAACTAAAACTTGTATCTAAATTAATAAATCTAGCTATGTCTACACAGGATATGACATCAAAGGTGACCATAATCTTGTGATGGCATATTGCAACATCAAATTTAAGAAAAACACTAAAGTAATAAAAAATATGAAATGGTGCATTAGAAAACTAAAAAACCAAAATATAACAAAAGATTTCAAAAGGAATTTAGATGAATTTGATATTGGAAAAAAAACTGGGATAGTATGAAGATCGATATAATTAGAATTACAGAAAAAAAATATGAAAATATGTAGTTTTTTTAATTACATACCCAAGTATTATATATACGACATTTTCGCTAAAAACATTTTTTTATTAAAAACGATTAGTTCTATAAATTAAATTCTATAATTTTTTCTATAAATAATATATTTTGTAAGATAAGTGACAAAAATTGTAAAACCACTCTTACAGTCGAATTTTTAACCCTCTTGCTATACGCGTTATTGTCACTCAATTTCAATCAAATATTGTATAAATTAATTTTTAAACTAATAAATCTATTTTAGTGAGTATATTGAATGAATTTCAAAACTTTATTTTTAATAAGCGCCCTAATATGTATGTAAAAATTTAAAAAAATAAGTCTAACGCCCTTTTAAGGTACAAGCGGTGAATTAAAAAATTAATTGATTATTAAATTTATTAATAAATCTAATGAACCAAAAAATATTTAAAACTAAAAAAATAACAATAATAATTTTCTTAATGTGATTATTATTTTAAAAGAAATCGAGTGGCTAGCGTTAAAATATTTATCTTGAATAACAATGATACATCCAAAATATAATATATTGAGTGCCCCAAGGTGTAAAAGTGTATAATAGACATAACAAACCATACAATTTACAAAAAATAGTGTTATATTAAACATGTTTCCACATATTTAAGTTAAAATTTATGATTTCTATACTAAATCATTTTTATAAACATTACAGAGTGAACAGTTTGTAATAAACCACTTGATTACTCTCAGAATAAATGTTGAAAAAAAACTTTTTTAATTACGTATAATTCTTGATTAATAGAATGTATAATAATTATTTTTTTAAATAATTATTTTAGAAACTTAAATGACTATTAAATTTATTTTTTCCAATGACATCATATATATGAATTTTATATATTTAACTAATAAATTTGACTGTATATATTTTATGTATACTTAATTTTAAGTTTATTCAGGTGAATGTTGAACATTTTAAGCAAAATTAAATTATATTTAATAATAATATAGTAATATTTAGGCATATTATGTTTAAAATACATCTTCGTATAATTGACATACTTTCATCTTTTAGCACTTTTGTTACAAAAAATTTTGTTTGATCCACAACAATTTTAGAACGAGGCTTGTCTAATTACAAGGTTTTTAATAAATAAAATGAGTGTGTAATACAGGCAGAGTGCAGATAACCTGCACTTTATACCTACTAGAATAGTCATTATTTTTAAACTTTCAACATTTTGATGTAGGACCCTCATCACTTTTTTTATTATTGTTAGAAAGTAATTTCAGTTAAATTTAGTCATGGATTTTCTATCGCTTCTAGAGGAGTCAAAAAAAGACAAAGAAGATAGTTTGTTGTTTTTTAAATTTAACTTAAGAAATACAGCATTTATCGAAAATAGTATAAAAGTTAAATTGTAAAACGTAATATTTTCTATAAAATATGTATTTAATACACTTGTTTACTAGAGCTATTTCAATTAATTATAAGTAAATAATTTTTTTATGTATAATATTTTTTATATAAATAAAGAAAAAAATCAACTTTGCCCATTTCTTTATTATATTAAAATTCTACTAGCACTTCGCTAATTTGAATAAGATTATGATTTCAAATACTTTTTATTCGTGATATTTTTTCTTTAGCTATTGCAATATAATTTTTTTAATTTATTTATTCACGATCATGTTAAACCATATGTCATAAAACAAAAATATTACATCGTCCTTGTAAAAAGTGTACAAGTT